TTTATTAAAGGACAATACTAAATCACTGCACTAGCCCTTTAATGTGACCCTATGTAACCTTTGCTGAGCAGCAGCCACTGTGGACCAAGATAATGCTAGATGCTAAAACGTGGCTTAACAGTGGAACAAGAAAAGAGGAGATAGTTACACAGAAATACTGTATCTATGTTAAGTTTACACTTTAAGCTACTGGTCAAAGCAGACCAAGTAAGGCTGTAGTAGTAAAAGCCCCGTGATGTACTAAGTGAGAGTGCATTTTATTGCTGACAACTTTTGTAAGAGGAAGAAAGTGTTGTTTATTCTTCCAAAAATTACAGTCTCGCTTCCAGATTAAATATACACGACCAATCAGATTCTAAGCCTGTACTTTCTCATAGGCATGCTTCTGCAAAGCGCTAAAGTTGATCTACTTTGACTTTTAGAACTGACATCAGCTCATTCATTGGCTGCGAGATTGCAAAGCAAATCTGAAAGCAGCTCATATAGCCAGCCTTGTTGCACTACAACAGGTAGAGTGCCCTCATACTGGCTCTGGCCCCAGGTTTCATTTAGAACGTGTCATGAGATTTAGGGCAATGCAAGATTAGCTATGCATAAGTATTCATCGTGTCACAAGTTTGCTTCTTGCCAAAGTCTCTCTACACTCTTCTATATCCTTCTCAGCTGCTACTTGTGCATAGCAAACAGGAAACCATATCATAGTATGCCACCACAGGCTTTACGCTCACACCATCTGTAGAGAATTACTCTGTACCTGCAAACCTCACAGAAAGTTTTCAGCAACTGCTTAATCCTGGTTCTCGTTACTGCCAAAACACGCACCACAGGGACGACTAGTTTCAAGGTGGAAGTGGAGAACTTATAATACATCACATAAAATAAAGTGTGGCCACCAATGTCTTAAGGGTGGAAATTAATAGTCTTTGGCAATGTAGCTTGGTAGTTTACACACAGTGTAAGGTGCCTTTCAGATTCTGGTGTGGTACCTAATTGCAATAGCACTGAGGACAATTTGGCCTCAGACAGGTCTTTTAAAGAATTTAGGATTAAAGCCAAAGGGCACAGAAAAATTTCCACTGCTGTCTACATTTCTCAGGTCAAGCCAGCCTTGAGTTTTATGTGGAAGATCATTTACAGGTAATGTTTGTGGAATGCATACCTGTACGTCCTGGAAGGGGGCAAAAATGGGAAAAAAAAAAATACATGAATAAAAAAGTGTAATGAAAACAGTTGGGCACTGTGAGGGCTGAGAGGCTGAGAGGCTGAGAGGCTGACCACATCCGCTCCTCAGCCCCTGCTGAAACCTCCACTTCTCCACCAGCAGTTTCCTACAGCTTTCTATGACAGAGCTATAACAGGTCAATTTAGATTAGGGTCTACTGCACTACAGGTAGTAGCAGTTACTACAAAGTAACTATGTATACTCAAAATACTGTACTGAAGTATAATCTTGATTCAAATTATTATATGCTACCTTATACTTCTCATTTTAGAGGCAAATATTGCACCATTTACTCCACTTATCCACATTAAAGTATGGTTAGGGTTAGGGTTAGGGTTAATAATTACAATACAAAAATGTATATATAGAATAATGAGTACTTTCAGTATATTTCCATGGTAATACTTCTGTACTTTTAGTAAAAAAGTACAAATTTGAATGCATGACTTTAACTATTCTGCTCAGTGATGTAAAATGATGTTGTCCACCACAGCTCACAGGTGAGCCACTGCCTACGGATGCAGAATGAATCAGAATGCATGCACCTTATGCATGAAATACTTCATTTGTTACACGTTCTCACTGGTACAAAGAGTATTCTGCATGTTTATAGTCCCGGAGAGTCTGTGTAAAACAACTGGTTTCATAGCTGTTCTGATGCAGTGAAGCCAAGATGGTCAACCATTAAAAGTACAATATTCCAACCTGTGAGCTGCGTTGCTGATGTTTTAAATCAATGTGAACAGTCAACAGACAGTCAGAATCTTGGCACGACCATACTGTACGTTTAAGAAAACTGCACCTGATGCTGAAACTGGACCTCCCTCTAGGGTTAGGTAAACTCATCAAATAAAAAATATTTTTTAAAAAACCCACAAAGAAGCTTGTTAAGGTTCAGTTCTCAAGAAAGGCTGCTCTGTTGCATTATCATCACAATCTTTGCTGTTGCACCGTAAACCAACAGCACAAAGGAAATGCTACTTTGTAGACGCCTCTGAGAAGGCTGTTTAAGCCATTCGCTGATCTTTATTATATAATAACAGTGTGAATTAGCTGTCAATACAGTGCAGGTGATAAGCGGGGGGTTGAATGGGCGGGGTGAATAGTTCTACAAGTCTAAACCAGCCACACGGAGTGTTTGAGTTTTTTTATTCTTACATCGCTCGAATCTAACCCCCATAAAATGGTCAAGAAACACTTGTATAGTCTCCAACACCAATTGCCACATAAACACCTCCGGCAAATAATTACCACGAAGGCATGTAAAACAAAAAAAAAAAAAACCACACGCGCGCACACACAGAGCCATTAACACAGGAAAATAGTGCCACACATAACAATTGAAATATCAACACACACCTACAATCCATTTGATCCACATAGAAAAACCACCAAAGTGGAACAATGCCTATAAAAAACACCAAACTAGATAATATAAATACACTTTACACACATGTTACACAAGCAGCACACACCTTTACACACACCACACACAACACATCAACACACAGGTTTGATCATGAAGCAAGCAATGACAGCGAACAACAACAATTTGGGTCCCTTCCTTATGTCTCTTTCTATCTGAAACACAGTCAACACACACACATCTCACAACACACACTCAAACACTATCACACACACACAAGAGAGAGAAGCAGTGTGATTGAATCTGAACAGAATTTCTCAAAAACAAACACAAACCACACACTTACAACAACTCAATCTCTCCTCCTCAACCATCATTTCCAGGACACACACAACACAAACAACTCAAAAACAGCCCCTCCCGCAAATACACAACATTCCCTTTTCTTTCTTCCATCTCGCCAATATGCCAAATAC